AATTGGAAGTCTTGAGCTCTGGTTTTTGGTTTCCTCGTGCTCCAGTTTCTCACTGAATTATTTATTTGACTGGTCTGAAATGAGTTAAATATGACAAGAAACTTAACGTCAGCGTTTTTTTAAAGTTGCATTTTGCATGTTGCGACACATTAATTGTAAATTTGACACAAAACTTTCTGAGGTAGGCCGCCTCGTCTGTGAGAGCACAACATATTGGCTGAGGATCTTGGTAATATCGCTCAGCCAGACAGAAGCTGTTAGTCAGGAGAAAAACAGCAACAACACCTGTTTTCTCTGATGATTACACGCTCTGAGATTATTTAGGATTCAAGAGATATTCTCTCCTTATTTGCAAAAACTCTCTCGGGAGCAGTTTACCTTCTGAGTGAAAAAACAACATATACTCAGTCAAGGTAAACAATACTATTAGGAGTTCACTGCAAAAGCGAATACTGTAGAAATTAAGCTGCAGCAAAAAATGGGTTGAGGGAATTCAGGGTGGCAATTATTATTCTGAAAAAGATGATTGCTTCATACTACCATTGCATTCCTCCCCTATTTGCTCTATTCCCTTTGAGCTGGCTGTCTAAATGCACTCAGGTGGACTTAATACGCCACATAAGCGTCACGTGTGACTCATCTATTGTTCTGACTCAAAATGTTGTCGTCATGCGTTCAGTAACCTATGCAGGCGGAAAGCAATTACTTTAAAAAAATTTGCTCCCACAAACATCCGTACACATTAGCAAGCAAGGACCCTTTTTTAGAAGGCACTGCACTTTAAAGCCATGGTTCTGCTCGAGGTTTCTGCCTGTTAAAAGGAAGTTTTTCCTTGCCTGTGTCGCCTAGTGCTTGCTCATTGTGGGAATTGTTGGGTTTCCGTAATTAACTTCAGAGTAGGGTCTGACCTGCTCTGTTTGGAAAACGCTGTGAGACAACTGTTGTTGTGATGTGGCGCTATATAAATGAAATTTAATTTAATTGAATTAATTTTAATTTTGTAATGTCATTGTCTGAACGTGTGTTTGGACTGATTTTGCATTTTGTGATTTTGTGTTGTTTGGTCTTCCTGCCTCAGGACCACAGATGTAAACTAGCAACTATGCTAGAATCTGGCTCATTTACAATCTGTATGAGATTGTTCATTAATGTGCACTGTCCTGATTAAATAAATGAATAAATAAATAAAAAAAATAAAAAAAAATAAAAGCAAAATCTGGAATTTTTTATGTGCTACTCTGCTGCCCGCTGTCTTTTAAAGCTGACTGTGGTTATGTTGTGTGTTTCAGACCGTCAGCACTGACCCATACCCCGCCAAACTGCACTATGACAAATCCCACGACCAGGTGTGGCTGCTCAGCTGGGGAGACATGGAGAAGAACCTCCCAACTCTGCAGGTAAAGTCAGAAAGACATACAATCGCCAACGTTTTCATTTTCGGTTTAAACAAAAAGGATTCCTCTTTTTAAGAGAGTTAAAGTTGGAGTTACACAGATATTATGTTTGTCCAGATTCTTAATTTTTGGTAATTTAAGAGATGTCAGGGCAATGTGAAAAATGCCTCTAACAATCCTCCACTTTCTAAGGCTGCAAAATATGTTTAGTTCCACCAACGACACAAAATATGAAGTCATTTGATTCATCACCCGTAAAAAGAAATATTACCATTGGAAAAAAAAAAAGCCTGAAAACTTGACATTTCTCATTCAAGACAGGCAAAGTGGTTTTAGGCATTAAAAATCTCTTCAGTTTTGGTCAAATTACTGTAGCAGGGCTACTGTAACAGAGCTAATGGAAGTACACATCTTTTTTTTGCTTAATCATACCTTCTCATACAATAAGGTATTGTAAAGTGACAAAAATATAGACAGAAACATTTTAGTGTTATGTATTTTTGAGGGTGTGAAACATCTAAAATGACTTACACATTAAATGTGAATTCCTTCGGAGTCCTGTTTCTCTCTAGTACAACACGGTCAATTAATTGCTCAGCTTCACTGGGATTTTCAATAGTTTTTATTTTTCATGCTCGCCCAAATCAATACTCACGGTAGAATGGAAAAGACTTTGAACACTGGCACTTTGGTTTTAAAGTCGCATCGTCACTCAGGAGAAATATCTCTCTTAGCTGCTAATGTCGCTGTGATCTCAAGCAAATTTGGTCTATAATTCTACAGAGTGAAATGTAAATAATCCAACACAGAACATGTTAAATGATTATGGAAAACGCCACGGAGATAAACTAACAAGTCTGCCGGTGTTTGCTTCTTTTCTCCAAGAGTTATGTGGATGGTGTTAGAGTGCTGAGTGTTTTTTACTGAAAAAAAAACAAACAGGCTCATCTGGGCCTTGCCAGCACAGAAATGCATAATGCAGGGGTTCAGTCAGTGGCAATTTGTGTTTATGCTCTGTGGCACAATCACAGCGACCCTGCCCACACACAGCCGGGTGTCTGTACGCTTTTATGCATGAAAAAGTAGTATTTAGACACCGAGGACAACCGCACACATGATCACCCCCCACTGTGGAGCTGCAGATCGCAGCAGGAAGAGGAGGAGCCGAGGTGTTTTATCACTGAAATGAAAAACAACATGTCGAAACCACAAGTGTCTCCCCCCATTTCAGAGATGTTTAAAGTACTGGAGTAGAGGAGTGGAGTAGAAGTACAAGTACTATATAAAAAAATTTACTTGAGTAAAAGTAGAAGTATTCTTTCAACACCATGCTTAAGTGGAAGTACGGAAGTACTCAATTTTTTTTGTACTTAAGTAGAAGTAGAAGTAGAAGTGTTTCAAAAATTGCTACTCAAGTATCAAAAGTACAAGTGGGCTATAAGTAAAAGTACAAGTACTGTGTATATTAAAAAAGGCAGTCAAAAATGTAATAGATATTGTTTATATTATTTAAAACGTGTGAAAGGCCATACAGGTGTTTACAAAAAACAGAAAACTACATCTGCATTAGCAATCAACAGCACTTCATCATCTACTATTATTTATTATTCCAGAGTCAGAATCCTGAGCTGAGCCTTTATGCTATCAGTTAGCACACAGCTAGCCAGCTAGCTTAGCTTTAGCTAACGTTATCATACAGCTAGCCAGCTAGGTTAGCTTTAGCTCACGTTATCATACAGCTAGTCTATGGAAGTAAATATGTGCCAACATTCAAATTTAGGAGTTATTTTTTATTCAAATTCTGATGGCACATATTTACTTCCATACTAGTCAGCTAGGTTAGCTTTAGCTAACGTTAGTTGCTACGTCCTGAGTGAACAGGGAGAACTGAACTAGCGCTTATTTACTAGCTTATCGGTCATTGTAGTTTTTACTTTACCTTGATATGCTTCTTCCGATTAGATGGGGAATTTTTGAAGGCTATAATTAACCATCTTTCGGGAGGCTTTTTTTTAATAGGCTATGCTTGATCGTTCAAATCACCAATGAGGAGCCAGCTTCCCAAACCCTGACAGAGCTATCTATCATTTCGTTTACATTTCAGTAACGAGTAACGATTCAGCCCGTGAAAAATCGATCAGAGTAAAAGTATTGAAATAATCAAAAATATGTAGTGGAGTAAAAGTGAAAGTAGGGGAAAAAATATATACTATATAAAAGTACAGATACTGCATTTTGGTACTTAAGTACAGTACTTAAGTAGTTCTACTTCGTTACTGAACATCTCTGCCCCTTTTGGACGTAATGAACGACTTAAAAAGGCTTAAATGAGAAGGAACCGGGAGCTCTGAGTGTGTTCATCAGGGTCATGTTAAACAGCCACCTGCTTCTGTGTCGCTGTTCACCAGGTGATCAATCAGGCCAGCGGACGCGTCTCCCACCACACCGTGCACACGCAGCCCATTGGCCGGCGCTTAGACCGGGTGGACGACTTCTTCATCCCCTCCTCCAGCCTCATCATCAACCACATCAGGTACGCCCAACCAGATGCACCAACTCTCATCAAACAACATGATGGAGCCTTATGGGAGTAAGCAACAATGACAACGAATGGATAAATCAACAACTCAAAACTAAACTTACTTTAATCAATCAAATTTACTTTAATGCTAATTCGCTCCTTTGGGTCTTCGGCAGGTCAGTTTTGCAGGATTCCGAAGTGTAGGTGTTTTAATAGCAAGCATTAGAAAAGATTAATTGAACTTCTGCCTTGTTTTTTCCAGACAGACCTTGCTATTTGCTGGCAGGGACACGGCATTGATTAATCAATTAAATGAGCAGTGAATGTGAACGGCAAACACATAGGCTACGTTGAAACTGTGGGGATAGCTGAAAGGACTGGGGATTCCCTTCAGCGGAAAATAAAGTGAGCAGTAATCCAGAGGGCTGCCATTCATTAAAGCATCGACTTACAGTCTGGCAGCTCTGCGCGTCAGCAAAAAGAAGCCGTTTTGTAACGTCTTTTTTTCTCATTTATACTCATCTACAGCATTGCACAGCTCAGACCGCCCATACCACTTTTGCACAAATTTGTTCTCATTGTGAAGAATGCCTTTTGGCAAAAAACAAATCCACTGAGATGTTGATTTCAGGCTTGTGCTGGAAAATTGCCGGAACAAATACATTTCTCTGTGGAGCATGCATTGTAATGCTGTCTGGATCTTTAAGTGTACCTCTAAACAAACATACCTGATATTCTGAAGTGTTCAGAATCTGACTTTTTACCTTAAAAAGGCGACAAGAAGATCCCAGAAGGGGTTACTTTGGGATAACAACAGTCATTGAGCTGTGCTCACTTTAAACTGAAGCTGAACAATGTCTCATTTTTCATTCATCAGACGTGGAAAAAATCTTGTTGCTGTAAATTATTCTTTCATTGTAGGATAAATGCACCATTGACCTTTTGCTTCCAGGCATGTAACCAATATATCACAGCATGTATATTAGCCATTGATCTATCATACGAGCCACAATATTGAATGTAATCCACAGCGAAGCAATTTCGGCACAGTTTGACAGGCAGAGCCGTAATGACAAACGGTAAATCACCAGCTCTCCCCGCCAGAGGAGGAACAGGATTTGTTTCATTTTGAAACAACACAATACATTTTTAAATGAATTTCAGCAAATCGTCACTTTTCTTTCTTTCGGGGTTATTTTTAATCGAAGAGGGGACGTGGCAGGATCCACTGAGGGCTCGCTCCAAATAAATTGAATATAACAAGACCCAGGAAATGAGTTCAGTCTGTTTGACAGAGGTGTCAAAGACCTACAATCATTCTCCTCTTGCAACTGTCTCTCATTCAGTCAGTCATTAACACAATCTCATTTCTGGAATGTCTCATTAAAGTTGATTCAAATATTGCACCATGTTTCCTGAAAGGAGTTTAAAACAAATTAAGTCATCAAGATGTTTGACCATTGGTTAAAGATTTTCTTTTAAGTGATTGATATTGATAAAATAGCGACAGTAAAGTAAATTTGGACAAAAAAAGAACGTCCCAGGTGAGTGATAATTTGACAGGTTCCTAACACATCAAAACAAAATAGCTATTTGGTCCTCACCAGCTGGAATGTGCAAAAAAAATAATTAAAAAAACGTTGTATAGGCTTCCAAGTTCTAGTTGAAAACATAGCTTTGTTTAACAGTTGTTGGAGTTTTGGTAGGTTTTATTGATTTGTGCACAAATAATAAGAAAAGAGAATATATTGTGAACGCGGTGCAGGAACCAGATGCCAGATTTGATGATGGGATCTTTGGTTTTCAGACAGCTGGTGTTCAAATGGCATAAACGATGATGAATGACAACAAGATTGAAGTGGATGTCAGCATTGATCAGCTGGTATTCACATTTAATTGAGGCCTGTCGCTCCTTGCATATTCTCTCTATTCGACTGTTACAGCTAAATGTGCCATTTAGCGACTCTTTTTGTAATGAGTAGCTTTCTCACTGATCCTTGGCCACATTTATTACTACAATAATTCTATTACAGGGAAAAGTGCGGGGGACGCTGGTGTCCAAATATATTCAAATGGACCTTGATGCCACATTTTTTACCCAGAACATTTTCTATTAAATTATTGTTAAACATTTTCTTGATAATCCCAGGAAGATCTATTTGAGTGTTTCATAGTCAAAATTGATGCAACATGGTTCTCTAAAGATTTTCTGTTTGCTTTTCAAACTTCTATGTGAAATTTCAATGGAAGATTTCATGAGGAACACACCTTTCAAAATAGGTGATAGAATGAAAATGACCTAGACCGTTAAAAAGTGAGGTGTTAACCAGTGATGTCATGGAATTCCTTTATCTGTATTTAGAAGATCTGAATGAAAAAGTATTAAGATTGATTTTAAAAATGATAACGTCCATAAATATTCAAAAAATTTCGAAGCAAATGAGACCATTCATGACTTAAATCTTTTGATGAAAACGTGCACCTTTAAACAGATGAACAACTGAGCAGTTCATATTTGTATTGCTTAAACATTGAAGCAAATAATTTACACAGAGGATTTGTTTTTTAGACTTACTTAACAAATTCTTTTGGGGTTACATCTGACATGAGTATTGTCAAAATAATGTGACATGTCTTTTGCTCCACGTTTAATTATCGGTAATAACAAGTACTTCCTGTAATGAATTACAAATCACTTTATACTGATATCTGCAGGCATAGTTACAAAGCCTTCTGTTTCTTCTTGATGGCATTTTAAGGTAAATATTTACTTCCCCATTAAAGCCTGATTGGTGCTAAAAAATATATCACTGAATCCCGTCAATATCTGAAGTCAATCCACTGCTAATCAGTGTTACATTTTGGTCTAAACTGTTGGGTTGTTGTACAAAAAACAACGTTTTATCAAAGTTGTTACAAAGAAACAGATCAACTGTTAATTTGTTTTTCCATTCATTTGTATTTCTGTGACTAAAACTGTTCGAATCTTCGTTTGCTTTATCAATTCCACACAGGTTTGGCCTCATCCTGCATCGAAACGAGCCCGTCCTGCACAAGATCAACCTGGAGACGGCGTCTTACGTCAAAAACATCAGCCTGTGGGAGTACAACTGCATCCCGAGGTCCGTGGCCTACACCCACCTGGGCGGCTACTACTTCATCAACTGCAGGCCGGACTCCACCGGCGCCACGCAGCCCCAGCTAATCCTGGACGGCATCACGGACGCCGTGATTGGCCAGAACGGAGACGTGACCGGGACGCCGTACGTGTCTCCGGACGGCCGCTACTTGGTCACGGTGGACGACGGCGACGGCCTGATGCGGATCCAGACCGTGTCCGAGCGGGGGCGGGTCGGGGAGCCCTTCGACATCCACACCAACCTGCACCTGTCCGACCTGGCCTTCCAGCGCTCCTTCACCGAGGTCCAGCAGTACAACGTGCTGGGCAGCTCGGGCCGGCAGACGGACGCTCTGTTCGTGGAGCTGAGCAGCGGCAAGGTCAAGATGATCAAGAGCCTGAAAGAGGCCACCAAGTCCTCGGACTGGCCGTGGAGCGGCAGGAACCGGGTCATGGTGGGCAGCGGACTCTTCGGACAGTACCTCATGACGCCGTCCAGGGAGTCCCTCTTCATCCTGGACGGGCGGCTGGACAAGCTCAACTGCGAGATCACGGACGTCCCCAAAGGCAACGTGGTGGTGTGGGTCGGGGACTCTTAGGGGGAACCCAGCCAGCTCTGTTTTTCCTTCGAAGGTACTGTCGCACTGAATCAGAAGGTTGAATTTAGCGAGCGCGATAGTGAAAAACCACAGATTCAGAAACCAAAACGATTTGTCAGCGTAATGGGTTGAGCGCCTCCCATCCAGATCCGTTACAAAAATGAAAAGGAATAATCGCTAACACAGTCTTAAAACACCTCCGTTCTGTTCGTTAACTCCACCCCGTTTGTTTTCCTTCACGTACACACACTTGCTTGCTCGTGAGACTCTTCTGGTAAATCGGTTCGACTTCATCGACGTGTGCATTTTCTTTTTTGGTTCTGTTCAGTGTGTGGGAATGCTGTAGATATTCTACTAACAAAAACAACGGGAAGCAAATTGGCAAGAACGAACATATACATATATAAATATATAGTACACTGTATATACTGTCTATGTCCAGACCCACTTTCTTTCATCCCCAAGTTTTTTTTCCCTGTGCCTTTGAGGAAAATATTATCCATCAGAGGAATTAGCTTAATTATTCCCAATGTGACTGCAGACTACACCTCTTATTTTCACCCCTTCATTCATCGTAAATCTGCCACTCTCTCCTTTCAGCCCACTGCAGCTGATTCAGTCTAATTAAAAGGGGCCCTTGCTGTGATCCCATCCTATTTGAAGTGGAGACCGAGTGGTTAGTTATGTTCGTGCGCTCTTTTACTTTTGATCCAAAATTACAACCAGCTTTGGAAGGTTTTGAGATCTACGTTTTACTTTTTTTCCCCCACCCTTAATGGTCCAAAGCAGAAAAAAGAAAGTCAGTGGTGATGCTAGTAAAACCGTTTGAGCTTTATACACATTGTGAAGTATTTCTTAGCAGAGAGTCAATAGAGCACTAATGTGTGAAAACATTCTAACAAGATTTCAGTCTCTCTGGACCAAAAGTTGAGATCTTAGAGGTTAGCTTGGTGTGGTAAACTTGTTTTGTCTGCTCTCTTCGGTAGTGTGTTCCTTAACGATGAGAGATGTAGTCGTGGGTTGTTGTGCAGAAGGGGTGAGCTTTGAATGTGAGAAGCAGCTTTCCAAAATGCTTTTGCAGAAAAGTTGTTGCTGGCAAGACGCTGAAACCGTTTTCCTGCTGGACACGTTTCCCACAATGCATTTTCTCCACAACGGGCAACATTCTTTCAAATTTTTGGACAGTTGTGTGCAGATTGTATTGAGTCACTTTAACCTGTTGAAATTTTCCTTTTTGTTTCGTTTAGTTTCTTTTTAGTTTTAATGGCACCTTTAAATTTTAAATCCAACTGTACTTCGGATGATGCCCTCTGTCCTGTACATAGCTGCTGATCGTGAGTCCATTTGTTTCCCACATTAACGTACAGATTCATGCAAAGTTTTTTTTTCCTTTTTCAAGCAAAGACTCAGCACATTCCTTTTTAAGAATGAAATTAAAAAAACACTGCTGTCACTATCTTCAGCACATTGTGATTACAGCTCTCACCGCCACATAGCCATGTCTTCTTTGTTTCCTCATGTGATTGTTATTTATATAGATTAAAAAAAAACGGCTTGTCATTTTACCCAACAATGAAAATAAAAATAAAAACACAATAACATAAGTTCTCTGTCTTTTTACTTAAAAGAGCCTTTTCTGTTCCTGGAGAACGATCATAAAAGGAAAAGTCTCCTTTAACAGGTGAGTTGGTAATCATTATTCTGCACACAATGCAGTAAAAATTAGGTTAACACTCTTGATGTCCCATTGGGTATGTTTATGTTAAAGTATGGGATCTATTTTTTTATAAGTGGCAAAGATTGAAATGTTCTGCTGCAAATGTCTGTGACGGAATAAGAGAGCGGAGAGCATTACTGTCGGCAATGTTAAACATGTCATGTTGCGTCTGGGTTGTATGGAAAACAGATCCTCTTTCACTGCATGCCGGCTTTGAAAGTATGGCTGATATGGACATCAGGCCATTTATGGTTTACTTAAGACTAAAGGGAAACTATGCACACAAAAGGAGAGAATGATTTTGACTAATGTAAGGTTGATTATTTGAGCTAGCCGTGGTCTTTAATGCAACAGAGTCTGCTACAATCTGCTAAAATGATTCCAGAAATCAGTTTAATTCTAATTCAATGAGGTAGATCTTGTATTCTAAATATGTTTGCATACTTTGAAGCTCTGTTCTCCACCACATTATGCATCATAATACATTAACAGCCCCTAAACAATGCCAAAAGGTTTTGATTATGCACAGGCACAATTAAGGATGTAAATATGACATAGAAATATTATTTGGCAAAAGTCCATCACATGCTGACATTCTAACAGCCATTTACTAGGAATAGCCCACTGTGGAGCACAGGAATTATGGGACTCTCATTAATTCACATGTTTTTTTTTGTGGAAATAAGAAGCAATAACTTCAAATTTACCATTTTCTCTACCTGAGATCCTCTGTTGTTTGCATTTTCCTCCATTTTGATTCATCTCCAAAAGATCAAGACTTTTTAGTAACTCACCACTTACCCGTTTTCAGTCCAGTGACCTGTGTTTAGGAAAAATAAAAACATCTATTTCCAGCCCGTTTGTACTTTATCTCTACTTTATTTCCGGGCATTGGTAACTTCTCCCCTCTGGGCTTACTCGTCTTTATGATAACTGCAGGTCCTGGTGGGTGTTTTGGATAAAAGTATCTCCCAAAACTGCACAAGTCTGTCCACTTATCTCTGAAATCCATGTGGAGAGGTTCCTCAATCTGAACAACCCTGACATCAGATAATGTCAGGGCCTGGATTCAGTCCTAACTTTAACAAACAAGACAGCTCTGTGTGTTTGTATAATCTATTGAAGCTACGTTAATCATGAAGGACTTGCTGTTCAGTTTGTAATTACTCTGCTGGCACTAATCAGAGCTCTAATTACCTTTTATTTTTTAGGGTTATTTTCCAAATTATTTGACTGATTGTATATTAAAATCACAAAGCCTCTTTGCTCTGAATAACATGCTAAATTCACATTTAAATAAAATGCAAATGCCGTTAATGCTTCTTTTAGAGGAACTGATCCTCATTTAATATACATCTCATTGATTGATGGTACAGTGTTCGGGTCAGCCAAGTCTTCCCTTCAACATGATTTAGTCATGCTTATCTTTCTTAATGATGGTAAAGACAAGCTAGACAGGCTAGCTTGGCTAAAATTGTATGAAATTTAGCGATTTAAAACAAGGCCAGTCAGCCCAAATAATATGATTATCATCCAATCAGGTGTAATATATGTAACACCTGAATAATATAGTGGGCTTTGTTGTATCAAATATGCTTAAAATGACTAATTTAACATATCAAATACAATAGTATATTCATCTAAACTACTATAGCAGAAGACCATGAATGCATTCTTTTTATTTGTATTTTTTACAGTTAATAACACTAACATATGCGAGTTGATGCACGCATTGTGCAGCAGGATTAGAGTCAGCTCCAATTTAACCCAAACAAATTTGTTATTAAGTATGTGTCCCACAGATGATGCTTTTCATAACTCTTTGACACTGTGTCAGTGTTTGTAATTGAAGATAAACAATACACAAAATAGATGTGCATGAGCATAATTCCAACAGATCAAATTAGTTTGAAAGATATTCAAGAGAATTAAACACGCAGAATCTGCAACAGCGGTGAAAATACCTGAAGATGGAAACCTTTGAAAGAACCTCTGATTTGATGAAGTTTGATGAAGATTTGCCAGAGATCAACATAGCTTCAGAGTCATTCTCATGATGACCATGTTCTCCTGATAAACACTCCCTAATGCATTCCTCCCCACAGCCATTCCCATTTAAATTCCCCTCTAACTCACACAGGATGGTAGTTTATATTAATATTCTTCCTTACTGAATCCCTTTAATAAAACAGCTATGTGAATAGTGAAGAGGTGCTGGCAGCCTCTTAATTATCTATTGTGGGTCCTTTATCTTCTCGCGGTCACATGGGAGGACCTCAGACTCCTCCCCATCACACACTCCAGGCCTCACCTCCATCAGGAGAACTCAGCACCTCATTCTGCCTCCGTCCATCACTACATTCATAAGGCAAGGATCGTAATCAAGCCACCGGCTCCTTAATCACGCCGGTAAAAACCTGCTGACAGTACAATCTCTCTGCTCTGTCCATGGCGAGGGTCCTGATGGCTGATTGAGGCCACGGGTGGTACCACCGCTCTGCATTCACATGCCCTGTTTTTTTTCCCCTCCGGAATAATCAACGTACTTACACGTGGTGATGGACGGGAGAAGGAAGAAAAAATGGTTCTTCTACTAGGGCAAGCACACAGCTACGGAGACCCCTAGGGGACATGGGGATTTTTTTTTCTTTTGCGTTCCCTCGCAATACTTTTGCGTTACCTCTCAATATTTTTGCGTTCCCTCGCAAAACCTTTTGCGTTACCTCGCAAT